AGGCAGTACAGACACAGTACACATTAGACAGTACAGACACAGTACACATTAGGCAGTAGAGACACAGTACACATTAGACAGTATAGACACAGTACACTTTAGGCAGTACAGACACAGTACACATTAGGCAGTATAGACACAGTACACTTTAGGCAGTACAGACAGTACACATTAGGCAGTATAGACACAGTACACTTTAGGCAGTACAGACACAGTATATTTTAGGCAGTAGAGACAATATCGACTGTACACAATCCAGCATTGTGCAAATAAGCCAAAACTCCATTCTAGAATCAAATTGCTCATCGAAGCACTCAACACGCCCGCCAATGACAACTTCGAGGCAATGGACAACAGGCGATGTTTGAGCTGCTGCTCCCCGGGTCTACCTGAGCTGCTCCCTGGGTCTACCTGAGCTGCTCCCTGGGTCTACCTGAGCTGCTCCCTGGGCCTGCTTGAGCTGCTGCTCCCTGGGCCTGCCTGAGCTGCTACTCCCTGGGCCTGCCTGAGCTTTTGAGGCACTTCAGCACTCAGGCATTTACAAATGATGTGCTTCACTCGGATATTGATAAGGTCTGTGATATCCCCAACCTGACTACGGCTTGGGAGACGTTCAGGTACACGTTTCTCCAAATTCTTAACAAACATGCTCCGTTGGTTAGATTTAAAACTAAAGGCAACCGCCCACCATGGTATGATCCTTTGATTACAAAGCTCATGAAAACTAGGGACAAGGCTTGGGCATGTGCTCAGAAAAGTAATTTGGTAAATGACTGGCTAGAATACAGGATTTTAAGGAATAGATGCGTAAAAAAAATATGGCATGCAAAAAATGCCTATTTTCCCTCCACTCTCCTGGAATCACATGGAAATGCCAGGATTTTTTTGGAAAACAATCAAATTTATCGAAAAGGCATCCAAAACAGAAAATCTGCCCGTTGAGCTTCACCAAAATGGGGAATATTTTTCAGATCCCAAAAAAATAGTTGACAATTTTAACCTTCATTTTTCTGAAGCTGGTAATCTTTTTGATAATGTATTGGGAGTCACCCCTGCTCCTGCAAATTCCTACACCCCTGTCCAAACATTAAACGAATTTAGTTTCCAACCAATCCACGAAAGTAATGTTCTGAAACAACTGTCCTACCTCAAAGGGTCCTCCTCTACCGGAGCAGATAGTTTTCCCGTCTTTGCTCTACTAACTGTTGGTCACCTAATATACAAACCTATAGCCCATATTTTCAACCTGTCCATCAAAGAAGCATCAGTTCCTCTAGAATGAAAACATTCCTATGTCCGTCCACTTCACAAAGGGGGCCATAAAGATGATCCCAATAACTACCGCCTATCTCAATTTTGTCCCCATTGATGAAAATTTTTGAAAAATTATTGAACTACCAAATTAGCAGTTTCCTGTCCACCAACAATCTACTACATCTAAAACAATCTGGGTTACGGAAAAAATACAGCACCACATCTGCTGCATTAGACTCTTTGAATCAAATTTACAATAGCCTTGATAATAAGCAGTACTGTGCCTGTCTTTTTTTTGACCTGTCCAAAGCTTTTGATACAGTTGACCACAACACCCTGCTTAGTAAACTAAGTTGCCTCGGTTTTTCCGAGAACACAGTACAATGGTTAAAAAATTACCTCTTTTCTCGCACCCAAACTGTATTTACAGATGGTTGGAGGTCAAACAGTGTTAAGATAACAAAAGGGGTTCCACAGGGTTCCATCCTCGGCCCCCTCTTGTTCTCTCTTTATGTCAATGACTTGGGCACTGAACTGGATCATTCCAGGGTAAATCTTTTTGCAGATGACACGATACTGATTACTGCTGGCCGCTCTCCGGATGACGTGATTGCTAAGCACCAGGGTGATTTCAACAAACTACAACATCAGCTAGTTTCTCTTAAACTAGTCCTGAATACCTCCAAAACCAAGGTGCTATGCTTCTCTCCGGGACTAAAGCAGGAAGTTATTTTTCCCCAATTTCATTCCTTGAATAATTATCAAATAGAGCAAGTCAAGATCTATAAGTATCTTGGGGTCATCCTGGATTCAAAACTTAGTTTTGAAGATCACATTGATTATATTGGTAAAAAGACAAAAATAAAAATTGGTTTTCTGTATCGACACAAGCACTGCTTCCCCCAATGTTCAGTTTGGAATTGATAAAAGCTACCATATTGCCTCTACTTGACTACTGTGACATCGTGTATAAATCAGCCCCAAGTACTGTACTGAAGAAGCTTGATTCCATCTATCACTCGGCCTTAAGATTTGTATTGAACTGCCCATATAGGACTCACCACTGTGATCTCTACATTGGGTCAAACTTAACATCTCTTAATGTTCGACGGCTTGTGCACCAGATCTCATTTATTCACGATGTACTTACAAAAAATTCCGCAGACTACCTACTGGATCTCCTCTCTGTTTCAAAGAACAAATTTGACCTCAGGTCTTCGCTCATTTACCAGCTTCACATTCCCTATTGCCGTACAAAAACTGGAGGAAGGGCCTTTGCTATTGATGCCCCTAGGGTCTGGAATGCTATTGCCAATAAACTGCAACTTGAATCACTACCTATGAGATCTTCACTCAAAACTGCTCTAGAGGAGTTGTACAACCCTAGCTGCCACTGCTATTCAGTGGCCTAAAATATGGCTCTAGATTTTGGTGTTATAATTAATTTATGTAGTTTATTGTAAAAAATTCGGTCACAGTCCCTATGATCACTGTTACATTGGATTTATGGCTTTTATTTTGGTGATTTCGAAACGTTTTTTTTGTTTTGGCCATGTTTTTGTTTATTGTAGTACGGAGTTGACTGATGGCCTTAATCTTAGTTGTCTTGTGGTTGTTGTTGTTGTTGTTATTTTGACTTGCATCCCACTGGGATTTTTGCACACAGCGTTGGTGTACGGTGCTATTTCAGGAATATTTTGATATTTTTTCCTGTATTTTCTGTTTGCACAGTCACATAATCACTTTAAGATGTTTTCTTGTTCATGTTTTTTGTTTGTTGCGGTTGCACCCGATTCAAGAGCCGAATGGCTCACAGGGCTATACCAAATAAATGAACTATGAACTAAATGAACTATGAGCTGCTACTCCCTGGGCCTGCCTGAGCTGCTGCTCCTTGGGTCTGCCTTAATCTGCTGCTGCCTGGTTTGCCCAGAAACGCTCTCCATTATCAAGGAGCCGAAGTTTCTGCAGGAAGCCCTCGACCGTCTAAACCTGCTCCTTGAGGTTTTTACCCTTCACCTGGTTGATCAGGTTATTGCCCTGTTCGCGAAGATGCTCCTTGAAAAAAAAAGTGACGTGTTAGGTCACATGCACGCAAGCGTAGAGAAATAGCAACGCACCAAGGTGTGCTTACAAACAGCAAGAACTTGAACGGCTAGTCAACTTCGTGACCTGGAGCTGACCGCCACCACAAACTCAAGCACACGGGCGAGAAGCCGTACATGTGCGACGAGTGTGGCAAGACATTACTCGCGCTCGGCCTACCTGTACGTTTTTCACTTGTGTGTTTAACTGTTGTGGATCTTTGTTATCTTAAAAATGGCAATTCTCCTGCTGTGTATCATACTACTGTCGTTCCCGGCCATATCTAGTGCCACACTCAACTCTACAAACGGCTACCCTCCTTACTTTGCGTCCATACTTGTTGCTCGATTTGCCACTACACCTGCAAATGAAACAGCTCATAGACACTTCTACACTCCATCATTGTATCCTTTTAAACCCTATCTTTGTCCCATTACTTCACCAGCACTCCTTCCAAACTTCATTCTGCTCTTAAAAATAACACCATCTGTGAGCTGCTGCTATTCGTCCAAGGTTCACCGCTCTTCATCCTTTCACAGAAAATACTTGTGCAAACTATTAATTCTTCTTTTCTTATTTCTGGGTGGTATTCAGCTTCATCCTGGCCCAAATATAAAGAACTCGTATAATTCTGTAGATTTTTCTGGCAGGAAAGGTGTTGGTGTTCTACATGTCAACATCAGAGGGCTTGTGATTAAATTAAGTCAACTAAAACTAGAAGTGGCAAATCTTGACCCGGACATTTTTTGCCTAACTGAAACATTTCTCACTCCTGCCGTCAATGACTTGCAGATTACGATTGACAACTGCAACCTTTTTCGGCTTGACCGAGGATCTAAAGGAGGTGGAATTGCCATCTATTTTCGTAATACTATTGCATGTTCACCAGCTCACTCCTTGTTTAAAAAATGTTGCTTTGAAGGTTTGGCTCTCAGAATAACTCTTCCACAAAATCAACAGATATTGGTAGTGTGCTGCTATAGACCGCCTAGTGGTAAGGATGTTGAAGCTGCATCTGCACTGAGAGAGCTTTTGGGGGGCCTCCCTAAAGGTGAAATAGTTTTAGTGGGTGATCTGAATTGGAATTGGCTAAAATAAAATAAAATGTTTTGCTCCGGATGACGCTGCAAAGTATTATCTGTATTTTGATTTAGTGTGCTGATCTTAAAAGTGCATTGAAAAATTGGATACAGTACTCCGACCGATGCTTCTGTTGTTGTGGAGGAACTCATGCAGCCAGCTATGGCTCTAGGATTTGGTGTCACATGTTATTTATGTAGTTTATTGTAAAAATTGGGTCACAGTCCTTGTGATCACTGTTACGTTGCAATTATGGCTTTATTTTTTGGTGATTTGAAAATCGTTTTTTTGGTTTGGACGTGTTTGTTTTGTTGTAGTACGGAGTTAGACTAATGGCCTTAATCTGTTTTCTTGTGGTTGTTGTCGTTGTTGTTTGACTTGCATCCCACTGGGATTTGTTGCACACAGCGTTGGTGGTGTACGGTGCTTTTTTCAGGAATATTTTGATGTTTTTTTCTCCATGGATTTTCAGTGTGCACAGTCACACATAGTCACTTTAAGATGTTTTTCTTGTTCGTATTTTTTTGTTTGTTGTGGTTGCACCCGATTCAAGAGCCGAATGGCTCACAGGGCTATACCAAAATAAACTGAACTGAAACGTTTCGGGAAACGGCCCTTTTTCTACCGCGGGGGTAAGGGACCGCGGTGAACGCTCTCCGTTCGGCAGCAACGCGCGCGAAGAAGTCGTCAAATCGCCGCGGACCCTACGTAGGAGCTCGTCCGCCATGCGGTCTCCCCATCCTCATTCTTCCTCCTCCTTCTCGTCGTCGTCGTCCTCGTCTCGGGTCTCCCCCTCCTGCGTTCTCGCTCCTGCCGCGTGGGACCATTCGGGTGCAATGCTGCAGGTGAAAAACACACGCGCACGGTAGTAGCAGAGACGCGCGCACACACGGAGACACAGAGAGAGAGAGACACAGAGACGCGCACACAGACACAGAGAGACACAGAGACACACACAGAGACGCGCACACACGGAGACAGAGAGAGACACAGACACACAAAGAGACACACAGAGACGCGCACACACGGAGACACACAGAGACACACAAAGAGACACAGAGACGCGCGCACACACAGAGACGCGCACACACGGAGACACAGAGAGAGACACACACAGAGACGGACACAGAAAGACGGACATACAGAGAGACACAGATACACACACAGACACACACAGAGACGGACACAGAGAGAGACACAGAGACACACAGAGAGACACACAGAGAGAGACACACAGAGACGGACACAGAGAGAGACACACAGAGAGACACACAGAGACGGACACAGAGAGACACACACAGACGGACAGGCGGCTGAGTGTTCCACGCCGTGAGCCGAGACCCTTGCCTGCATTTGGGGTGGGAGCCCCATTGAACCATTGGAACCGAGACCCCCCCACTCCTCTGCCCCCCCCCCACTCCTCTGCCCCCCCCCTCCTCCGCCCCCCCACTCCTCCGCCCCCCCCACTCCTCTGCCCCCCCCACTCCTCTGCCCCCCCCCTCCTCCGCCCCCCCCCACTCCTCTGACCCCCCCACTCCTCTGCCCCCCCCCCACTCCTCTGCCCCCCCCACTCCTCTGCCCCCCCCTCCTCCGCCCCCCCACTCCTCTGCCCCCCCCACTCCTCTGCCCCCCCCCCCTCCTCTGCCCCCCCCACTCCTCTGCCCCCCCCACTCCTCTGCCCCCCCCACTCCTCTGCCCCCCCCACTCCTCTGCCCCCCCCCCACTCCTCTGCCCCCCCCACTCCTCTGCCCCCCCCACTCCTCTGCCCCCCCCACTCCTCTGCCCCCCCCACTCCTCTGCCCCCCCCACTCCTCTGCCCCCCCCCCACTCCTCTGCCCCCCCACTCCTCTGCCCCCCCCCACTCCTCTGCCCCCCCCACTCCTCTGCCCCCCCCCACTCCTCTGCCCCCCCCCACTCCTCTGCCCCCCCCCCCACTCCTCCGCCCCCCCCCGCACTCCTCCGCCCCCACTCCTCCGCCCCCCAAGTGTTTTAGTCTTCCTCGTTCCCGTCTCTCCGTACCCCACCCCTCACACCCCACCTTGTGCCGCTCACTCCGCTGGATGTGCACTGGGCGCTGAACTTCTTTCGCACCGTACGCGGCCCAGCCGAGCTAACCGCGCGCCACGCCGTCGTACGGGCAGGGCGAGGGATACCTTTGACCATACTTCACCGGGCTGGTCGTCAGTGCGTGTTGCGGCGTGGGGACTACTGCGTAGGTGGCAGGGCTGCTGAGTACAGCGCACAAGTTTATTGTTGCTTACCGTAACGTGAACTTGCTTCCGCCGTTGCTGCACTCGGATGAAGATGATGATCTGCCGTCCCAGGCTCAAACCCTTGCTTGGCTTAACCCATCAACCGAGCCTCATTGATGGCCCACGTGCCTGGTCATAATGTTCCGCCTGTTAAAGGGTTTGCGTTGGTATTGAAACAATATTTCGTTTTTGTGTTATCGTTGCCGAAGTCCCATTGCGTTTGTGACTCACCCAGGTCAGGGCCTGTCGCCGTGAAATAATCTTTATGAAATAATAAAACATTCTCTTATTTCAAGTGGCGTATTGTTCCTCGGTGAACCAGGCGAAGATCCATTGAAGATTTGTTGTTTTTTGGAAAGAATATACAGTGAGGGAAAAAAGTATTTGATCCCCTGCTGATTTTGTACGTTTGTCCACTGACAAAGAAATTATCAGTCTATAATTGTAATGGTAGGTTTATTTGAACAGTGAGAGACAGAATAACAACAACACAATCCAAAAACACGCATGTCAAAAATGTTATAAATTGATTTGCATTTTAATGAGGGAAATAAGTATTTGACCCCTCTGCAAAACATGACTTAGTACTTGGTGGCAAAACCCTTGTTGGCAATCACAGAGGTCAGACGTTTCTTGTAGTTGGCCACCAGGTTTGCCCACATCTCAGGAGGGATTTTGTCCCACTCCTCTTTGCAGATCTTCTCCAAGTAATTAAGGTTTCGAGGCTGACGTTTGGCAACTCGAACCTTCAGCTCCCTCCACGGATATTCTACGGCAGGGGTCACCAAACTTTTTTCACAGTGGGCCGGATAACTGAAAGAATGTCGAGCGCGGGCCGCATAATAAATAAATATTTCTGGAGCGTCGGACCTGTGTTGACAGCTGGAAAATCTGGGGGCGGGAAAGATGCGTGTTTGTGTGTGTTGCCATGGAAACCATGGTAAGGCGTTGCCATGACGTTGCCATGGAAACCATGGTAACGTCAGCATAGGCGGAGCTACCACGAGCCGGGGAAGTACTTGGGATGGCGCGAAATAAGCAAACATTACCATAAACAAGAACATCTAGATACAGTAATTTAAAATTTAAAATAGTAAATTTAAGGAACATAGCAGTCAGGAGGTCTCGGCACGCGTGAAGATCTCCTAGTATTCTAAACATATTTAAATTGTATCACAACGTCTCGTGTTCCATACGTTTTATCAACCAAATTCAAGTACCGTCGGCGGGCCTGATGGACTGACGTCGCGGGCCGCATTCGGCCCGCGGGCCGTAGTTTGGTGGCCCCTGTTCTATTGGATTAATGTCTGGAGACTGGCTAGGCCACTCCAGGACCGTAATGTGCTTCTTCTTGAGCCACTCCTTTGTTGCCTTGGCCGTGTGTTTTGGGTCATTGTCATGCTGGAATACTCATCCACGACCCATTTTCAATGCCCTGGCTGAGGGAAGGAGGTTCTCACCCAAGATTTGGCGGTACATGGCCCCGTCCATCGTCCCTTTGATGCGGTGAAGTTGTCCTGTCCCCTTTGTAGAAAAACACCCCCAAAGCATAATGTTTCCACCTCCATGTTTGACGGTGGGGATGGTGTTCTTGGGGTCATAGGCAGCATTCAAAGAGCTCCATTTTGGTCTCATCTGACCACAACACTTTCACCCAGTTGTCCTCTGAATCATTAGGATGTTCATTGGCAAACTTCAGACGTGCATGTATGTGCTTTCTTGAGCAGGGGGACCTTTCGGGCGCTGCAGGATTTCAGGCTTTCACGGCGTAGTGTGTTACCAATTGTTTTCTTGGTGACTATGGTCCCAGCTGCCTTGAGATCATTGACAAGATCCTCCCATGTAGTTCTGGGCTGATTCCTCACCGTTCTCATGATCATTGCAACTCCACGAGGTGAGATCTTGCATGGAGCCCCAGGCCGAGGGAGATTGACAGTTCTTTTGTGTTTCTTCCATTTGTGAATAATCGCACCAACTCTTGTCACTTTCTCACCAAGCTGCTTGGCAATGGTCTTGTAGCCCATTCCAGCCTTGTGTAGGTCTACAATCTTGTCCCTGACATCCTTGGAGAGCTCTTTGGTCTTGGCCATGGTGGAGACTTTGGAATCTGATTTATTGCTTCTGTGGACAGGTGTCTTTTATACAGGTAACAAGCTGAGATTAGGAGCACTCCCTTTAAGAGTGTGCTCCTAATCTCAGCCCATTACCTGTATAAAAGACACCTGGGAGCCATAAATCTTTCTGATTGAGAGGGGGTCAAATACTTCCCTCATTAAAATGCAAATCAATTTATAACATTTTTGACGTGCGTTTTTCTGGATTTTGTTGTTATTCTGTCTCTCACTGTTCAAATAAACCTACCATTAAATTATAGACTGATAATTTTATTGTCAGTGGGCAAACGTACAAAATCAGCAGGGGATAAAATGCTTTTTTCCCTCACTGTATTTTTTTTTTAATAAAAATTACTGCTGCAAATGTTTTGCTCACAGTAACCGTCGTCAGCCATGGTCGATCCACTGCTGGATATGAATTCTTCCACCACCCCCACAAGTCACCAGCCATCGCGTGCGATGTCACCGTTCACACCTAGGGACCTGCACGGATTTGATCGCTCCCTCCTCGCCGAGGCTGACTCCATTGCTCCGTCTCCCTCCGTGGTGGTTTTCTCTCTTGAGTTCCGCTCCTTGGCTGCTACTCCGCCACTGGTGCATGCATGTTGTACGTATGTTGTATGTATGCTGTATGTATGTTGAACTTATTTCGCACCGTGCGTAGCCAACCGTGCCAGTAACCCACATCCCTTATTGCCATGAGTGTGTCCTCCCTAAGCCCACTTTGATTTTAAATCCATTATAGAGGTGTTTTTCGAGTTATATCTCGTAAAGATAAATGTGTTGTTAAACCCGCCACCACCCGACACAGCCAATTAGTAAGGTTTGTCACGTAAACGGTGCAGTATTGCGCGATGCATTTCGTTTTCCCTCAATGTGAGAGCGGTCATCTTCCGTCTCCTTTGTCTAGGGCAAAACAACCAGAGCCCTGATGCCGGGGGATCGTTGGGACAGCAAGACGGGAGCACGCTGGACACGTTGAAAAGGCCTGTGATGCGAAGAGAATCGCGATCTGGTGCGATAACCACATCGGTTTGGCTTTACACAACGTCGAGATTGAAATGTCGCAGATGGCCTTTGTAACCAGGTGAGAGCTTAACGAGATCAGAAATCTTTTGTTCAAAGGAGACCCGGGTTTATGTACATGCACAGCAACGCAGCCAATTCGAATGGGCAAAGCCATGCAGAGAACGTCACTTTAATCAACAAATAGGAATACACTTTTGCCGATGACCAAATCGGCCAGATTTTCACCGATCCCATCAGATATTGGAGGGTTGTGTGTATGTATGTTGAACTTCTTTCGCACCGCATATAGCCAACTGTGCTAATCGAAGGTGCGTGGGAAGGACAACAAACTAAACACAAAAAGTCAAGCAGGTTTGAGTTTGGATGGGCGGTCCAGGTTGTCTTAGCGGCCGCGGTTGCTACGTGGGGTGGTCAGCAGAGGGACGATTTAGGAAATTCCATTGTTGTACCCTACGCCATTGTGACGAGATGTTAGCTACCTCGCCTGGTATACGGGAGGTCGTGGGTTTGATCCCAACCCTGACGGCCACAGATTTGGAGTTTGCGAGTCTCCCCCTGGTCGCGTGGATTTTTCTCCGCGTCCTTCGGTTTTCCCCTCCACATTTAGAATCGACATGCGTTGAGAGGAGTATTTGGCTGCTATAAATGTCCACGTGATCAGCCACTTTGTTGGTCTGTCATTTGTGGCCAGGTCGCTTCTGAAAAAGAGCTACATAGCTCACTGGAGCCTTACTTGGTAATTTATTTTTTTTATATATACTACCGTCCCCTATTTTCTCGCGCATATGCTCCAGGCCTTCACTCACTGACTCTGACCGGCGTGGTGAAGTATGGGTAAAATAGACCCCCACAAGCTGCACGGCATGGGCAAGACCCTCATACAGCAGTGGATTGGCAAAAGGAGCGTCCCAAGTCAATTTAAAGATCACAGTTTGAGACGGTGTGCTTTTAAGCTCTCTGTTTTCTAAAATGTTGGTGTTCGTAATAGCAATAGGAATGGGAATGCACAAGCAGGTATTCTTACACACCACACACACATACGGTGCGCACACAACACTGCAAACTTGCAACCCAAAGGAAACAAGTCGGCCGTCGTGACGTTTTATACACTCTAAGTTTTTATTGCACGCTTTCTATTAATTCACTTCTGTCTGTTGTTGTCGTATCCTCAAATCTTGTAACTACAATTTTAACCCACTTCCCAATGTGGTATCGACTGCAAACTTGGTATACTTATGTCATACTGATGACAATACTAGATTATATCATTTAAAAAAAACATTTTTAAACATTCTTTTTTTACGTTATGTTTCGGCTTGGGTCTAATTGTCCACGCTCAACTGACGTTGGCTGTAATTGGCCCACGGTCCCCTTACGTTATGGAAAGCTTCGGGGGCCACTTCCTGGAGTCGTGGAGTTCTGCCATTACGAGTACGGTACTTTTCATTAAAGCGTGTATTTTTTTTTTAAGTATTTTAAAAAAATTACTTATTAATTCTGCGGAGCTCTTCGGGGGAACCAATGTGTAAGCGAGATTTTCCACCGGGCACAAGGAGCTTTGGGAACATTTGCCGGAGCGCGCTTCTCGCGATTTCACAATTGTTTTCTTTTTTTAAATATGCAGAGAACCAATTAAACGGATTTGCTTTGAACAGTGCGGTGCATGCAAATTGGCGGCAGATTTGTATTCACAGGAGACTTGAGAGCGGCTTTCGTTGGAAATGATGAAACGGAGAGTAGTGGGAGTGTTTTGTTGTGTGTGTGTGTGCGTGTGCGCGCGCGCGTGCGTGTGTGTCAATGTTTGAAGTACACCACCACCACCACATGGCAAAATTAACCGGGTCTGACGTAACCGAATGATGACCTTCGAGGAGCAAAGAGGCCAGTTTAATTGGCCACTGATTTAAAAAGTATACTGCCTGGTTATGCTTGCCTTGTGTAATATACACTCCATGTAATTTCACACACACACACGAGTAACAATACACATAGTCCCTTTTACACATTCGTACAGCAGTGTGTGAGTGTGCTCGTGGTTTTTTGTGCTGTAGTTGATTAACGTGTTGGGGTGAGGTGGGGGCAGCTTCTCAAAGCGGGTCTGACAGAGCCCTCTCTCCAATGGGGAGGGTGGTCTGCAGACGACCGAGTGCATCTGAAGCCAGTCCGCGCGACCGGCTCGTGATTAAAACACACGCACGCCCGCCCGCCCGAGTTGCCCCGTTTTGTGTTCTCCCACTGGACTCTCCACCAGGGCGGTGGCATCTCGGTTGCACCGGCTGACCCTCTGGTGCACCGGCTGAACCTCCGCCGTCCTGTGAGCTGATCCAACGCGGCGCGCTCTCAGTCCGAAATCCCGCACTGCTCGGTTCTAGTGACCCGGTTCGCTCTTGCAAATGAGGCTGTCCCATCGTCTCTTGAGTGTGTGTATGCATGTTGAACTTCTTTCGCACCGTACGTAGCCAACCGTACTGATCGGAGGTGCGGGGGAAGGACAGCAAACTAAATGCACCTGAGCTGGTGGTGGGAATGTTGCCTTTATTTTTCAGCGTGACCACATCAAAGCCATCTCCACGTAATAGTTAATGTCATGGACTCCTCTACTTATGAACGAGTTAGGTTCCAGAGGTCTGTTCGTAAGTCGATTTGCTCGTAAGTCCAATTTTACTCCTGTAGATTCCAAACATGTTGTACGGTGTGTGCACTAAACACGATGAATGGCTTTGGTTCTTCACATGCAGAACTAGATGCCACCACCACCGCCATCTGTTGCGTGGCGGTTGCACTTACGACTGTTGATTCTGAACAGGCAACTTTACATACGGACAGGTTTGTTCGTATCTCTAAAAGTTCATAAGTCGAATGTTCGTAAGTCGATGAATCCCTGTACGTATGTATGCATGTTGAACTTCTTTGGCCCTGTACGGTGCGAAAGAAGTTCAACGTGCATACGTATGTAATGTGAACCTTTTTTTTCTTTCCACGCACGATCAGTTCATGTTGTTAATGTGGAAGTGTTACAATGGATGTTTTAAGTGCGATTTATTTATTGAAAGGAAGTTTTAGTAAATGTTAGACTTTTCACTGAAAGCAAATCAAAGTGCGTACATGGACACACAATCAACATGCCTGTGAGTTGCGCCATTCACTGATTGCAGGGCAACATTAGAGCGTATGAGTTTAAGTCATGTTCGGGACCAAATGTCCTGTGGTTTGTGTTTAGAGATGTCCACACAGTGTTTTGACATATCAGTGAGACAAATCCCCCATATAGCCTTAACACACTGGGGGCGAGTGCTGTTCACGAGCACCTATGAAGGTCGGCACGGCACGCGATGGGGATGGGTGGCCAGAACCATGCCCCAGTGGCGATGTTTACGCAGCACACCGGGTACTCATTTAAGTCTGAATCCACCTAGGGAAGGCCCAGGACCGGTTCAAATATTCGCCACTGTTATTAGTCGTGAATGCAAATCGAACTTGGGCCACTGAGTTCTTAGCGTGCGCTCACCACGACACTGCCACTCCCTATGCGTATCAATTACTACTATAATAGCCCAGAAATGTGTGTAACGCGCGTGACGTCACTCCACATGCCGCACCCCCCCCGTCATTAATAATTAAATAATCATGGGCGGGTTAATTTTTACACTCACGCGGAAGAAGGTGGAGTGGAAAGGTATTTTTTTTTCGCAAAGTCGCTTCAAATATGACGTTTCTTTACAGAAAGTGACGGTCAAAAATAATATACGCAGCAGAGTGCTACATCCGTACGTGACGTCACTGCAAAAGAGCCCCCCCCCCCGTCATTACTATCATAAGCAATAAAAAAATTATGCAAATTTGCTTTAAATTTGACGTTAATTTGTTAAAAGTTACTCAAAGAAATAACTCTACGCAGACGTTTCTTTACACAAAGTGACGGTAAAAAATAAATCTATGCAGCACAGTGCTACATCCGTACGTGACGTCACTGCAAAAGAGGCCCCCCCCCCTCATTAATAATCATGAGCGGGTGGATTTTTAAACTCCCGCAGGTCGAGCGGAAAGACATTTTTGTACGCAAATTCGCTTTGAATTTGACGTTTCTTTATTGAAAGTTAATCAAATGAATAGTTCTACGCAGCAACAAAGTGTATTTGGTGTCTTTATTTCTTCAGCACTTGAAACAAAAGGTAAGTAAACATTTTGCTTCTAAATTATGATAAAATATATAAAGTTCTCCGTGATTTTCCAGACATTGTATCGAATTCAAATTGATTACAACCCCAGCGAGCGAAAGCAGAAGAAAGTAAAGTATCAGAGCAGTGATTTAGAACTTATTGAAGGTGAGTTAAACGCAGTGCTACAGTGACATGATGAAGTGAGGTGTTTTATGATGCAGTTTTGTGCAAGAATCACTGCCATTAATACAGTGCAAGAGACTAACACAAAATATCGTATACCGAGGTTTCATTTTTTAAGTGCAGAAAAATGTACGTGCAACAATTCCTTAAAAAAATTACAATCGCACGAGAAAACGTGAATGTCCATCGTTAATATTACAGCTTCCATCCTAGGACGGGCAAAAGGCTAATTGAAGGCGAGTTAAATGCAGTGCTACAGTGACATGAAGTGAAGTGTTTTATGACAACTTTTGTGCAAGCATCACTGCCATCAATACAGTACTACAGTGAAATGGGGTGTCGTGTTTGATCACATTTACACAAGATACAATTATACTCTGCTCAATTATTTCGTAAATATTACAGCTTCTGTCCTAGGACGGGCAAAAGGCTAGTAGAGTAGCCATCATCGCTGATTCTGTTTACACTGCATGACGTATAATATTTCGTTAAAGTCTTCCATTGTTATGTTTATTGCTCGATGATTAATACTCATTATTTTTCTTTCTGCGGTGTATCTTAAAATGCAGGATACAGACTTGCAAGGACTTCCATCATCATCATCAACCATGATCAATACACTGCTGGATAAAGGGCTTCGCAACTCTCCTCATGGCTCAGCGGAGTACCAGTATACTGGTCAAGTTGTCAAGACCAATGTGGGCACGTCACAAGCGCGGCAACGTCTCAAGAGACGCGCACGGTGTCTCAATTTCAATACGAGCTCGCGTCACATCCGGCCAGACGACAACTAGCCGTGCCAAAGGTCGCCGTTACAATCTCAGCCGTATAAGCGATCGCTTGATCGAAAAAATGAATTGCTCGCTCAGGGAATGGAACGCACGTCGGCTCATTCAAACCTTGGCCACGTGAATAGACGGCAGTAAGTCTTGAAGAGGGCTTGGTTGTTTTGCCGGTGGTTAAGAACGGCAAGGTGCAACGCCGGAGGGAGCCCCGTTTGGTGGGTGAATTTGAGCCACTCTTCCATGCTGGTTAGACCTTTTGAAAAGAGGTGAGAGTGCCCACCTTTTACCTCCACCATACCCAACCTTCTGTTAGACCAGTTAATACTACTGAGTGGACAGGCTGGAGGAATTTAAGAACTTTGCACCGCTTCAACTGCCACGCTGGGAGTTCCAACCGGCGACCTCTGGGTTGTAAGTAAGTCCAGCGCGCCAGTGGTTAATAAGTATAAATATTGTGGCGGTTTTCACATCCGTCTCGACCGCTTTGTTGCTACGTGACAGCCTCTGACTGCTGCTGTGCATTTTGCTCGTAGATCAGCGACTTAGGCCGTCGGCACGGAAGGAAGGAAGGGCGGGGGTCACGGTGTCTCCACTGTCCGTGGTTTTACGGCCGCGGTGAGGCGACCGTACCGTGGCGGCGATGGCGCGCCAGGAAGCCATGGCGGAATCTGAGGTGGAGCACTTTGTGGACCTCTGCACGACGACCGCCATCCGGAACGCGTCCGACCTCAAGCTGGAGGCGTCCGACAGCGGCGACGACGACTGCGTGGAGGTCTTGGACGAGGTGCTAGGGTCCTCCTCGGAGGAGGAGGAGGAGGAAGATGATGACGTTTCGTTGGTCGTCGTGGAAGCGGCCGACAACGCGACAGCGGGGAAGCCGGCGGCGGAAGAGGGCGGCTCGCAAGTTCGCTGGACGCAGGAGCTCAGCGTGGACGAGGTAGCGACCTACGGTGGTGGAGGGTCGCACTCATTGCGCACAAAGTGCTTGCCACAAATGAACCACAATACCTTGCTCACCTCATCAAGGAGCATAACGCCAGTCATCCTCACAGCAAGCAGCAGCTTCTGGCTGACCGTCGAACAAAGACGATCACCGCATCGCACACTTTCAGATGTGCTTCTGCGGCCGTCTGGAACGCTCTTCCGATATTAAGAAGCCACTGAAGCTATACACTTTAAAGTAACCTTGATTGAAAACTAGTTTCTTTAGATCTGCTTAGTGTTTAGTTTATTGTCCTTCCCCCCACCTATTAGCACGGTTGGCTACGTACGGTGCGAATGAAGTTCACACGTATGAGGAAAGGCTGCGGACGTTCATTTTTCAAACATCCCAAGAAATAAAAAGCTTGTAGGTGTGTACATTCATGAGAACAGTTAGAACAATTTATTCGCGGGTAGGTAAACGCGAGACCTTAAGGGGAAAATAGGGTGAGGGTGACCGAGCTCGCGGGTGAACCTATGATATCCCGTACAAATATTGTTTGTCGTTCACTAAAATCAATCGGCGAACACAGCCAACTAAAGGTATTTTTAGTGACGTTTAAGACGTGCTTAATGAGTGAAAGTGCGGTAAATTAAATTGCATTTACCTTTGATGATTATGGTGGTGATGATGGGGTGACGGGTGAGGGAGGAGCCTTCTCGCCTCTCGCGGGAGCCTGCGAGGCAACGCGGGGGGCGCTTGGCGGCAGCGGCAATTTTTTGTTTTCGGCTTCAACAAAACACCAGGCGCCTTAACGGCGCATTCCGAAGCTCGTACGACCTGTCGTAGGCGTTTGCGCGGGATACTCCCAGTGGCAGCTGTGCCGTCCGACAGGCGGGGGGGATAGCCCATAGGTTACGGGGGCCCCACCGTCACGTTCAGTCGGGAGCTTCGAGGAGGGGATGTGGATGTCCAGCAAGGGGGGGTGGGGCGGGAGCGGCGATTTTGATTTGACGACTCGGCGCGACGGCTCGCGTTTCGCGTCGCACTCAAACCGAGATCATCGCGGTTGGTAAACAGGTGTACGGGATTTAAAGGTTTCGTGACTGCAGGAATTCATACTCTTTGGGTCTTTCGGTAAAGTCACGTAGATAGAAAGAATAATACATCGCGACGTTTCGATCACAACACAGGCAATCGTCTTCAGTGAAGGTCACAACGTTTCGATCACAACACAGGCAATCGTCTTCAGTGAAAACGATTGTGTTGCGATCGAAACGTCGTGATCTATTATTTTTTCTATCTACGTGACTTTACCGAAAGACCCAAAGGATGGGTGTACAGGAGTCAATCTGCTTATACTAAAATCTCACGGTAAACAGGTATACAGACGTAAATCCGCAGATACTAGAATCTCGCGCTTGGTAAATTCCCGGTTGGCAAGGGGTTACTCTACACAGGTCAGTAAGCCTTAAGTGATAAAATAAAAAAAAATAGTTCATCCTTCTTTTGTTTAACGTGACTACCGCCGCTGTGCAGGTGAAGGTGGAGGCGTTCACTCGAAGCTCCGGGCCCGTGCACTCGCTCAAGCCCGGCGCGGAGCCCCTGGAGTTCCTGAAGCTCTTTCTGGACGACGCGTTCATGGAGCGCATCGCCGCCGAGACCAATCACTGCGCCGCGCAGAGCCACGCCGTCGGCTGGAAGCCGGCGACCCGCGCCACCGTGTCCACCTTCCTGGGCGTCCTGCTCGTCATGGGCATAAACGTCCTGCCCGAGCTCAACCAGTACTGGGCCACCGACGATTGCCTGGGAAACCAGTTCATACAGCGCGCCATGTCCCGCAACCGCTTCAAGAACCTCATGCGGTGCGTTCGTCGACGAAGTTCCGGGGGGGTGGGGGGGGTGGCGGCGGGGAAGAGGGTGCGTTAACATCTCACCAAGGTGGAGAGATGTTAACTACCTCGCCTGGTATACAGCAGGTCGTGGGTTCAATCCTGGCCCTGACACCTGCTGTATGTTTGGAGTTTGTATGTTCTCCCCGCGGTCGTGTGGATTTTTCTCCGGGTCCTCCTGTTTTTCCCCTTCACATTTAGAAAAATGCGTTTAGAATATTTGGGTGCTTTAAATATACATGCGATCAATCCAAGTCTGCAACGCTTAAATCATTTTCCAACGCTGTAAAAAAACAAAAATTCAAAGGGATCTTCCAATGAATGCTTTTCATTTCATTGGGGTGCCGTGGTGGCGAAACGTTAACTACCTCGCCCGGTATGCAGGAAGTCGTGGGTTCGATCCCGATCCTGACGCCTGCTGATATATTTAGAGTTTGCGTGTCTCTCTCCCTGTGTCCACGTGGATTTTTCTCCGGGCCCTCCGGTTTTTACTCCACAGTTAGAATCAACGTCACGCGTTTAGAGTGATTGTCTGCTGTAAATTTCCACACAATGATAAGCCACCTCGTGGAGCTATCATTTCGTGATGGCCAGGTCGCTTCTGTGGGCCTTACCAGACTGTGACACCAGCGCAGGGGATAGCACAATAATCATCGGTGCCGTTTTTGGAGAATGTACGTGACAAAATAATCGGACACTACATCTCCTTCATATATCCGTCTCTACGTAATTTTTTTATTTACACAGCCAATAGGGCCAACAGCCTTCTGTGAGTTTTGAATAACAGTATACAAAAGGGAAAATTGCGTTGCGATTCTTTGGCGCGCTTTGCAAAGAGCTTTGTAGCTCATCGGACTCCTCCAGGATAAATAAAAATTCCGATTGTTGCGTGATGGGCGCAGGTACCTCCGCCTCACCGACGACGAGAAGATGCCCAAGAAGGGCGAGGCCGGCTACGACCCCCTGTACCGCGTGCGGCCCTTGATCGACCACCTCCTCTCGGCGTTCCACCGGCACTTCGTCCCGTTCCGCGACATCACCGTGGACGAGGCGACGTGCCGCTTCAAGGGCACCATGGAGTTCTCGCCGTACGCCGAGGCGAAGCCCACCAAGTACGGCATCAAGGTGTTCATGTCGGCCTGCGCCGCGTCGGGCTACGTGCACTCCTTCTTCGTGCACACGGGCGCCGACGAGTACATCATGCGGCACGGCATGGGCCACTACACGATGATGCAGCTGACGCGCCGCCTCCGCGGCCACCGCCACCACGTCTACTTCGGCAGGTTCTTCACGAGCGCCCGCCTGCTGCGCGACCTGCTCCGCCGGGGGGTCTACGCGTGCGGCCCCGTGCGCGCGTACCACCGCGGCTTCCCGCTGGACCTGCGCGACGCGCGCCTCCGGAAGGGCGACGTGCACTTCCGCCAGAGCGGGCAGCTGGTGGCGTGCGCGTGGGGCGAGAAGAAGCGCGTCACCACGCTCTCCACCAACTCCCGGCCGATCATGGAGCCGGCGCAGAAGAGGCCGGGCTTTTGCTCCGACGGCGGGTGCCCTGAGCGGCCGCAGCCCGTCGGCAACTTCAACGCGTCCAAGGACGGCGCCGACGCCGCCGTGCACCTACGCACCTGCTACTCGCTGGGCCGCGAGGGCAAGAAGTGGTGGCGCCACCTCATCTTCGTGCTCGTCAACACGGCCGTGGCGAACGCCTACACCGTACACCGGCTGAGCAACGTGCCGCCCCCCAAGCTGCCGGCGAGCCACCTGCAGTTCCGCCTGCTGCTCGCCAAGCAGCTGGTGGCCGGCTACGCCGAGGGGCGCGCGGCGAAGCGGCCGCGGCGCAAGCGCGACATCGAGAAGGTGATCTCGACCGAGCACCTGAGCAGGCACGTGTGCGTCAAGTTCACGGGGCGCAAGCGCGTGTGCGTGCTGTGCAGCCGCCGCGGGTGCCGCACGGCGAAGGGGCGCGGCGTGCAGAGCAGCTACGGCTGCGTCATCTGCAACGTGCACCTGTGCCGCGTCGGCTGCTTCCTGCAGTACCACGAGATGGCGCACCTGCCCACCGACTTCGTGGTGGACCCCGCCGTTCAGATCGTCCACTGCCCCGCGCCGGAGGCGGCGAGAAAGCCGCGGAGAGGCACCGCCGCCCGGGGCTCGGCCCGTAGCAAGGCCGCCAAGAAGCCGGGCGGGAAGGCCGCTTCCAAATCTACGCGGGGGCCGGCTCCTCCTCCGCCTCCTCCTCCTCTTCGGCGTCGCCCTCCTCCTCCTCGTCGTCGTCCGCGGCGGAGTGGCGCGCGAGCCGTCGCGGTGGAGGAGAGCCCCGGGGACGAGTCGGATTGCGTCGTGGTGGACGAGTATTTGCCCAAGCGGGTGAAACTGGAGAGTGAACCGGAGGACGACTTGGAGGACGAGTTTGTGGAAGAAGTCGACCAGTGCACGCAGGTGTCCGAGAAGGAGGATGAGGAGGAGCGCTCGGGATCCGCTGGCGGAGGCGACGGCGCCTCGGTGGGCGCGGATCGTGGCTCCCCCGGACTAACGCTCGCTCCCGCAGACGTCGACGACTCGGCCTGCCGCTCCGTGCGTGAGCTGGCGGAGCCCGCGAGGGATTCGCCCGGGGGCGATGCCGCCGGCGGCAGCCGTGCCGGGCGGCAGCGCCAGGAAGAGGGGGCGGAGGGAGGGCGACGCACGTCGCCTGACAACGGTACCGACTCCCGTAAGCTCCCCGACTTGGGGGCAGGCGCGGAGGGAAGAGGCACGAGAAGCGATTGTTGCGCTCCGGAGGGATTTACCGAAGACCCAGCCCGGAGCGGTCGGGGCGACGCTGAGACACCGGCGGGCGACGCCGAGTTTCGAACGTCCGATCGCGATCGCACGACCGGGAGGGAGGCCCCGGCCGTTGACGGCAAGGAGGGAGATCGGTCGGGGGAGGAGGCGCAGGTGCCAGTGACGACGGAGAGCGGCCAGGGTGAAGCCAAGCACCTCGCTCGGGCGCGTGAAGGTGTTCCTGCTCGGGATCAGGATTTTAAGCAGGAGCCAGTGCAGGCGTACGCCCGAGAGGTTTTGACCGGGAATCTTCACGGCGACGCGCGCGCATTTGACGCTTCTGTCGCGACCGCGCGCGAGGCGCCGGGCGGCTTGCCACGAGGTCCGCCCGTCGACACGCTGCGAGGAGTGCCGTGCTCCCTGTTCACTCGCGTCCAGGCCGCCCCGCAGGCCGTAGCCGCCGTGCCAGAGTCGGGCCGGGCTGCCGGCGTCGACGAGGCTCTGAGCTCCAAGTACGCCGCCCGCGAGCGGGCGCCGGCGCCGGCCGGCGACGGGGACGCTCGAGAAGTCCCGAGCCGGCAGTACGGTGCGACCACGGAGGGGCCCCGCCCCCGAGCATCCGCGCAGAGCGCTGGGCGAGAGTGCCTGCCGATCCCGCCGTACGAGTTCCCACCTCGTGCCTCGCCTCTCCGCGCGGGGTGCGACGCCGAGAGAGCGGCGCGCGGGTGCCACGTCGAGCCGCCGCAGGGCCGTGAGCCCGCTCGCGGGTTTCCTCGTCTCTGTCCTCCCTTGTCAGCGCTGCCGAGCCAGCACCCGCACCAACTTCCGGGCCCCATCGAGAGTCTGGCCAGGCAGCCGGTGGGCTCTGGGCACCTTGCTCGGCACACGGCCAGCCCGCAGCAGCAGCACGGCTACCCGGCGTTGGGGCTGTACCCCTTCCAGGAGCTGTACCGCCCGCACCTCCCGCTGCTGCATCATCTGCTGCCGCCGCAGCTGCAGCAGAAACAGCAGCGGCAGCAGCGGCACGGAGTCGGGGGCGGCGGTGGCGGCGAGCTGGCCCCGCCGCCGTACGGGCTGCAGGACGGGCCGTATGGGTTTCACGACGGGCCGTACGGCGCCCGCGCGCCCACTCAGCACGGTGAGCAGTGATGGGGGGGGGGTGGGGAGGCGCCTCCCCTGGTGCGCTCTGCCGTCATCCCGGGCACCTGGCCCCCTCCGACCCGCGGCGCCCCGATGCGGTCACCGCCAAAACCCGCGCGCGCTCGACAGCCGCGCCGGCACAGATCTTGTTGATGGCGGAATTTGCCAGCACCACCGGGGCTAGGATTTGACGTGGGGGTTTGAATGGACCGCGGTGAAAATCGTGCAGCGCTTGTCTTTTGTAGCTGCACAGTCCGTTGGCGCGGTCGCACACCGTCATTCTTATCGGAACCGGAATAAACGTCCGTGCGCCGTCTGTGACGCGATGGTGGCTCACCAGTCGGAATCTTGATTTATACCGGAGGAATGCCATGAGCAATAAACCTCTTTTTCACAGGTGTCCAGTAGGGGGCGGGTCAGAAAGTTACTACAACAAACACTCCTGAAGTATGATAAGAGTTCAAAGAATAGTAAAAGTAAGCTAATCACTAGAAAGACATTTTTTAATATTTCATCAGGTAAAGCCCACTGAGCTATTAGCTTCTGTTATAGAAGCCACCTGGCCACGAATGATAGGTCGACGAAGTTTATTGCAGCCAGACGGAGCCTTGACTACGGGCCGCGGTCTCTCAAGCGCCCCCTAGTCACATGGCAGGAAGTGAAGGCAAGGGCACGGCACGTGACGCGGGTTTCTGATCAGCAAATGCAGCAGCGATTGCTGATCAGCGATTGCTGCTGCATTTGCTGAAGACGGCGATTTCAGTGTGTGCAGGGAGTCCAGCACATTTCTAGCACTCCATGAAATTTGTATGGCTCAATTGCAGTGCAGTATAAATGATGGGGATATTTAGTGAAGTTGTGTTTGAATTGTACGTGTACAGCTCTTTTGTTGATCTACTGCTGGATGAGGGCCTTCACTGAGCAGGGCATGTTGTTACAACTATTTATATATATGTTTATCTAAACTAAACTATTTTACCAGGTACAGCCCACTGGGCCTGGCCACAAGTAATAGCTCAATGAAGTGGCTTATATGGAAATTTATGGCAGCCAAATACTCCTCTAAACGCATGGCGATTCTAAATGTGGAGGGAAAAACCGGAGGACTCGGAGATGCGCAAACTCCAAATATACAGCAGGCGTCACGGTTGGGATCGAACGCACGACCTGTATATCAAGGGAAGATAGTCAACATCTCCTAGCCACCGTAGTGCCCCGAGTATTGACCCATCTGGCCAGGATTGAGCAAAGACGTGCCCGCTCTTCACCCAAGCAACCGGAGATCACAGCCGAGGTGTTTCACTTAAATAACAATTACATTTAAGTAAGAACGCACAAGTACAAAAACACAAATATAGCGTTCAGAAGAATTACAGTAAAAAAGTGATTCTCATGATGTCCGGGACACTCTTCTAGTATCCAACGAAGCTTCTTAAAGCAAAGTTCGAACGTTGCTGATAGTAAAATGTGAATTGAATGCAGTGGTTGAACGCCATATATCTGGGTGCGGACGATAGGTAAACTTTCCCTTAAGATGACAAAATGGGGATTGTGTGAAATCTCGTGTATGGACAGGATGCAGTCTCTTTTCCTTCTGTCTGCTGTTTCATTTGAAGAGGTGCTTCGTGGAGTGACGTAACTTGCATCTAAGATAAAATTAAGAAGAATGAACAGTCACATCAGGCCTATTCAAGGCCTTGACTGAGGCACAGATAATAGCAGAGTAGTCAAGGACGTTGTTTAGGACTGCTTTATGTGTTTAGTTTGTTGTCCTTACCCTGCACCTCCAATTCGCGCGGTTGGCTACATACGATGCGAAAGAAGTTCAACATACATGCATTCCAGGAGTATCATTACGTTAAATTATAATCGATGCCTCACTGCGTGACCCAAGACTAAAATGTGTCTCATGGTTCTAGTGATTAGGAGACACTGATATCTATCCCTCAGTCCTGTGTCCATTCCAGGAGTTGTAGACCAAATATTAATATTTTAAGTTCGGTACTTATCAGGGTCAGACGATCCACTAGGTCTGCTTCACAGGTGCGGCTTTAAATTATCAACTGGGTGCCACGGTGGCTAGGAGATGTTATCTACCTCGCCTGGTATACAGGAGATCGTGGTTTCGATCCTGACCCTGGCGCATGCAGTATGTTTGGAGTTTGCATGTCTCTCTCCCTGTGGTCCGGTTTTTCCCCTCCACAGTTAGAAACATGTATTTAAAGTATTTGGCTGCTGTAAATTTCCACGCGATAAGCCACTTCGTTGAGCTATCATTTGCGATGGCCAGGTCGCTTCTGAAAAAAGAGCTGTATAGCTCAGTGGGGCCTTACCTGTTAAAGTCAAAAATAGTTTAGTTTCTCGTTTAGTTGGTCGGGCACACATTAGTGTCCCAAACACTGCATTGCAGACTGCACATTCCTTATTGCGAATCTGTGCGGGCACATGGTCGCAGCCGAACATGCGTTCGTCGACTGGAAAGGGACGTGCGACGTGTGCTCTTGAAACATTTGTCTTGACGCGTTGTGCAAAGACACTTGTGTTTGTGGTGGGGTTTTTTTGGCGGGGGGGCTTCGAGTCCAACTGCCCGTAATGTGTTTACAGTCTGTTGTCAGATGTCCAGTGTTATAACGTGGTCAGCGGAATTGTTTACTTCGTATTTAACCTATCTATTGCTCTGTACCTCTGCGTGTGTGTTCATGTTGAGGCCAACGCGCACATAGCCTGGCACAAGTGCTGTGGTGACGTCACCGCCACTTAATGGCGAAGGACGGTTGTTATTGTTGTTGTGTTCATGTGCAATGCCTAAACGGTTAACTTTTTGACGTAAAACATTTCACAACGATCAAATAATTGCTGACGTTGCACAATACAGGATCGTCCATGGGTAGTTTGGCTATATTTTTCCACGTCGAGTCCCCTGCGAATGATCAACACCGAAAACATTTGGCCAAACGCCTTTACGGGGAGATTTAGACACGCGCCCTCGCGTTGTCCCCATTCCCTTACGTGGAGATGGGGTTTTAATTAAGAAATTGCACTTTTCAGAAATGTTAACCGCCTGATGAGAGAAACGGCCTCCTGGCGCACGTGCTAGGGGTGCAACCACTGAGATCTTGGGTTCAAATCACAGTTGCGAACCGCTGCGCCATGTGATCAAACCGAGTTCTCGAGTGTCGTGAGTTTCGAGGTCGTTGGACCGATCACCAATGACCATACAAAAAAAATCTGATCGAATCAAATTTGTGCACTTAACCTGGCTAATTTCTAGCGCTGAGAATGTAAAATATCTGCTCGACTGGCACCCGACGAACATTGCTCTCATACGTATAGCGGGTGTGAAAGTGCTGCCCCCCACCTCCCCCCTCCTACTCTGTGGACCAGAGGTGACAAAGGAATTTCGGAAGTAGCTCTGTGATATCTGCTTCTGTGGGCCGTGGTTTCATAATTCCTCTGCGAGAGATACAATGAATGCTGTTTTTTTTTTACAACGCAACATTTGTTTGCTCTAAACGTGTGAATACCCAGCTGTGTGAGCATGGTGCACTCAGTTATTGATCTTGATTTGCGTGTCTATAGTTAAAGTGACTTGTGTTTGTATTTAAAGTGTTTGAAGGTTGTACAAAGGCATCTTGCCCGCAACGTGTGTAGCGCTGGCTCGAGCGACAGTAGCCGTTCCCAGCGTTTTCTTCCGAGCCGTCTTCTACTTATTATATTCTCGTACGCGACCGTCGAATACATTTTTTTCTGAAATTTCTTACCGTATTTGAATTTCTCAGCAACGACAACAAACGTTGGCGCCAGGGGTGGGGCCCCTTCGTTGGAACGTTTTAATTGTCGCCCAAGTTACAAGTGCCTTACACGGCAGCGCGTACTGTTAAAGTGCGTAGCCAATGCAGTGGCCGAGTGAAGTAGGACAAAACAATTTGAGGATTTTTCCGCGTGAAATTATATGCGGCTCGTGCGGTGGGATCCTCGCGCGGAATTGACTTGAAAAGCGCGGCCGCTGGAAGAGCCCACCTGCCTGCGTCGTTGCGTAACAGAAGAACGCCGGTGGCGTCCGTATTTGTGAATCGCCGCTGCGCTGTGCGGTTTATACGGACGGTTGTGCATCTACACATTTGTGCGTATAAACAGTGTGTCGGCAACGACAGGAAGCGGTGCCGGACCACTTCAATCGTCCTCGTCGTCGTCATCATTCTCGTCGCTCCCCAACTGGCACACGAATGCTCATCTGCAGGCTGCTGCTGCTGCGTACTCCTTGTGCCGCACAGGGACAGCTGCCACTGTCGGTGGAAGGTGGAGGGGTCCCCTTGGCGAGACTGCAGCAGGGCATAGGAACGGCTGAGCTGCAAGGGACATTGACGTTTCCGAGGCGTGCGAGCGTCTTTATGAGTGCAAATTCTGAACATCGGCCGTGCTCAATCCACTTGTGGGTGGAGGCCTGCCCAGGCCGTCGCCCTCCCTTCGCTCTTCCACGATGTAACGATCCACCCGGCCGTTTTCACCGCTCCATCTCCGCGATGGATGTGCCCTCTTCAGCTGCCGCTCCGCGGTTCGTTGTCGACCGCCGGCCACCATCTCGCAAGGACGACGTCGGCCTGCCCGGGCCGGCTCGCTTTTCTAAACTAGTCGAAATCGTGTCGTCCCGTAGCTCCGTTGTACGACGTAGCAGCGGATTTCCAGTGCTGTGTTTTGGCTGCTGTGCTTTGGCAGGAGCTCTGCACGTGGTGTTAAGGGTGATTGTTTTTTTCAGAAGGGGGCCTCATGTGTGTGTCCCCCCCCGCCCCCGTATTTTGTGCTGTGCAACGTTCGATTTACAGCGACATACATGGGCAGCGGCCGTGTTCGTCGTGTGCCGAAGTGTGCCGCGTTTTGTTGTTTTCAATAAAGGTGCACTTGAGGTTTACACGCCCGTCTGTGTTTGCTTCCCGCCCGCTCTCCCCAAGCATTCACAACGGTAGAGTTAGGACGTCCGTTTGTGCGTTTTTTTATACGCTTATCTACCCAGGAAAGCGTCACATGAGTCTCGAGACCGTTTTGACGAAAGGTCCTTGCCAAGTCTTTCCTTTGCAGTTAAGAGAGCATTATTGAGTATTCCTGGGTCTTTCAGAAAAGTCACGTGGATAGGTTCAAAGAAAATAAAAAAATTACAAAAAAACTAGGACGTTTTGATCGCAACATAAGCAATCGTCATCAGGAGAAAAAGGTTTGAAAAACCTTTAAAACATCCTGCCTCAGCAGCTTTCCCGATATTTTTTCTCCTGATGACGATTGCTTGTGTTGCGATCGAAACGTCGTAGTTTGTTATTTTCTTTGAACCTATCCACGTGACTTTCCGAAAGACCCAAGAATATTAATTCCTGCAGTCACAAAAGCTTTAAGTTAATATTGTTTTTTTTGTTTTAGCTACTGGAGGAAACGGAGAACCCAGAAGAAACGTGCAGAGCAGAGGGAGAACATACAAACTCCACAAACCACAAGGGTGCCCGAGTTTGGAATCGAAGCCAGCAACTTGCTACTGTGATGCACAAGTGTTTTTCGACCCTGACGCCTGCTGTATATGTGGAGTTTGTGGTGTCTCTCTTCCCGTGGTTGCGTGGATTTTTCCCAGAGTTCACCCCGCTTTCCCTACATTTACAAACATCATGCGTTTAGAGTATTTGGTGGCTATAGATTTCTACGCGATAAGCCACTTTGTTGCGCCAAGGCCGTAGTTATAATATATAACTAATAATCCAATTTGCAAATTGGATTATTAGTTAATATATAACTAATAATCCAATTTGCTCAAAATGTCCCCCCCAATATATTGCTATAAAATTATTTTTCTTAATAATAATTGCGATTTTTCGATTTAAAGCTTTCGTGACTGCAATGATTCATCTTCTTTGGTTCTTTCGGTAAAGTCACGTAGAATGAGAATAAAATAATAAATTGATAAAATAAAATAACACAATAATATTCTCACGACGTTTCGGCCACAACACAAGCGGCCTTCATCAGGTGAAGGGACGAGACTGTCTGGTAGGACAGCGCTGGAGTGAAAGAGCCACGTTCAGATCACGGCCTTTAAGCCTCAACTTTAGCACCACGGATAGCTACGGACCCCGTTCAGACGGACGAGTTCGTCCATGGTCGGAACAGAGGAGGGGGAGAGAGACAGCTGCGAGGCGCTATTCATACTCCATGTTGTAAAACCATACCATTAACCGTGGTGTGAGAGGTATTAAGAGTCAATGCTGGCGAAGGAGCTGCGGTCTGAAGGTCATCGTAAAAATACAATTAATTAAGAACAGAAATGATTTAAAACATCTTTCCAGTGGTTACTAAGCCAGAATCCATATTCTCGGTTGAAATTGTCTCTGTGCTTGTATATGTGAATGGCCTCATGAACGAATCTCTCATGGTAGCCGGTTGGTTTGCAAAGAACCTCCGTCTTGGAGAAGTCAATGTCATGTGAGCCCACTGAATTATAACAGTGATCTGCCACGGCAGAGGAGTTCGTCCTACCGTGTTTCAAGTCTGCTTTATGTTCGCGGATGCGGTCCGAGATATGTCTTTTGGTTTCTCCAATGTAGCTACTACCACAGAGGCACTTTAGTTTGTAAACGCCCGGGTACTGTATGTCTGGAACAGCGTCGT